TCCCTCTAAGAGCATCGTTTCAATAGAAATACAAGTGTGCGCTGCCTGTCTCATTTTTGCAAAAAGTCCATTTGTACACCTGACATTATATATTGTCAGTTTAAATATGTAGCGATTTAAATCTTGCATCATCTGCAGCTGTCTCTCATAAATTTTGAAATGCTCAGAAATACGTTCCCTTTACTTTTGCATTTGATTACCGATGTTAATCCTTTGATTGTCTATAGTTAGCATGTGATTAATTGCACATTTTTTAGCTGTTTTAAAAAGTGGTGGAAAGTAATTAAGTACATTTACTCAAGTACTGTACTTGAGTACAATTTTGAGGTATCTTTACTTGAGTTTTTATTTTCTGTTGCTTCATACTTTGACTTCACTGCATTTTAGAGGTAAATATTGTACTTTTTACTCCAGTATAATTAATTATTATAAACCCTTATTGATTTATGGGGAAAAATTCACAAGCTACCCAAGTTGACTTAAACATGATTTTTATATTTGTGCTTAAGTTACATGCTTTCCCTGAGAGGAAGGCCAATAAACCCCTTTCAGACATAGCTAGGAATTTGCTGGCTATTTCTATTTCTTAGTTGTGTATATTTTGGGCAGGCAGTGAAATTTGGGCATAAAGATGAAAACATTACTAGCTAGCACAAAGTTTAATTTGAATAGCTACAGAGAATATATTGTTTAGTAGCAGAAGCTAATGCGGAATGGTGGAAACTGGGCCGACATGGAAATCAAAGGCCTCCTCACCCTCTGCGGTGGAATAATGGTGTGATACTGGATATCATGTGAACATTGTGGCTGTACCCAGCTAGGTCCTGCTATGTTTGAACAAAGCCTTTGCACAGAGCAGCTCCATTCTGAACACCAAAAAAGCATCTGCTACATGTAGCCCGCAAATTCCTGTGTACCATGTCTGAAGGGGCTATAGAGTGATGAAATAATTTTTTCTTTTAAATCAGGAACAAGTAGCTAATTTAATAAACAGAATAAACCCCTCCATTTTTGCGCTATGGCTGACAATCCTTTAAATAGACTACATAATCTATTTATTACTTCAGTTATTTATCACATGGTGCTGTCCAGCCTTCTCCTGTTCCTGTTTTCTGCTGCCTGTTAACATGCCCCTTTTGACTCGCTGCCTTCGTTCTGTCAGTCTCCTGTCTTGCCTGGTTTTGACTTCTAGGCTTGTAATCTGCTTTTGGATTTGAGTGCCGTCTGCCTGTGCCTTTGCCTTCTCTCTGTTGCGGCATTTTTGTAGCTCAATGTATTTTTGTTAAGACAGTTGAAGAGGACTGTTTGTTTTTTGTACACTGATCAAAAAAATTAAAGGAACATTTAAATCACCCATCAGGTCTTGATGAACATATTATTCAAGTTGAAACCCTTTGCTAATGTACATTGTATAATTTGTTCAGAACAAAGTGACATGACATCAGTCAGTGGAAACCAAGGTCATCAACCCATGGAGGCTGGATTCAAAATCACACTGAAAATCAAAGTAAAAACACTGAAATCACAGGCTCATCCAAGTTCTGTAACTGTAATGTACCTCAGAAGTGTGTATGCCCCCTGTGTACCTGTATGCCCTGCCAACAACATCTAGGCATGCTCCTGATGAGTTGGCGGATCTCACCCCAGACATGGATCAGAGCATCAGTGAGCTTCTGGACAGTTTGTGGTTTTACTTGGTGATGCCGTGTCAGAATCACTGATACATAATGTCCCATTGGTGCTCAATTGGATTTAGGTCAGGGGAAGGTGAGGGCCAGTCAATGGCCTCAGTGTCTTTGTCTTCCAGAAACTGCCTACACACTGTGTCCACATGAGGTCAGGCACTGTTCTGCACCAGGAGGAACCCAGGGCCCACTGCACCAGCGTAAGGTCTAACAGTCACTCTGAGGATTTCACCCCAGTACCTCACAACAGTCAGGGTACCGTTGGCTATGACCTGGAGGTCTGTGCAGCCCTCCAAGGATATGCCTCCCCAGACCATCACTAACACACCACCAAACAGGTCATGCTCGATGATGTTACAGGCAGCATAATGTTCACCACGGCATCTCCAGACTCCTTCATGCCTATGACATGTGCTCAGTGTGAACCTGCTCTCATCTGTGAAGAGAACAGGGTGCCCATGTTCTTTGGCAAATGCCAGTTGAGCTGCATGGTGCTTGGCTATGAGCACAGCTCATACTAGAGGATGTCAGGCCCTCATACCACCCTCATGGAGTCTGTTTCTGACAGTGTGGTCAGAAACATGCACACCAGTAGCTGCTGGAGGTCGTGTTGCAGGGCTCTCTCAGTGCTCCTCCTGTTCATCCTTGCACAAAGGACCAGATACGATACCGGTCCTGCTGCTGGGTTGTTGCCCTGCTATGGTCCTGTCCAGTTCTCCTGTTGAAATGGCAGGTCTCCTGATATCTCCTCTATGCTCTTGAGACACAGCAAACCTTCCCGTGACTGCAAGTATGGGTGTCATCTTGGAGTAACTGGACTGGACTACCAGTGCAACCTGACTGGGCTGCAGGTACCAGTAGTGACAAGGACCCTAGCAAAATGTAAAACTTGAGAAGAATCAGTCAGGAAGGATCAGGAGAGAGCATTTGTCTGTGGCCACCACATGCACACTCATTCCCTTTTGGGGGGGTCGTCTTGGTTTTTCCTCTCCATTGCACCTGTTTCATTTGCACCAAAGCAGGTGAAACAGATTCTCAACCACTTGTGCTTCCCAAATGGACAGATTGACATCCCTGAAGCAATGTTGTAGTCGAGTCCCTAGTGTTCGAGTCTGAGTCGAGGCTTGAGTCCGAGTCACCAAAGAATAATCCGAGTTGAGTCCCTGTTACCCAAGTCAGAGTCATCAAGGTCTACATTAAACACAGCTCTCAACATTTTATTTTCCAAACTTTCTAACAGGGTATTGCAGAGATCATGCTAGACTTTATTTTCCATCATTTTGATGGACAGGGTCATTAAAATTCCATCATAATTTAGTATTACTCCTGAATTTAATTTTCATTTTTTATTAATAACACATTTATTTCATTTTTCATTCATTTTCATTTCATTTTTTAAAATAATTAATATATGGAACAAGCTTATGTGCAGCCACTTGTCATGACAACACCATCATAAAGCAGATGGTGTATTTTGGCAGTGACAGCAAAGGCCACTAAATTACTGTGGCCAGTTTGCATAAGCAAGCAAACATGAACATCTCAATTTTACAGAATTAGACAATTATTCATTCATTCATTCATTACCGCTTAGTCCCTGAACGGGGTCACAGGTGGGGCCGGAGCCAATCCCGGCCGGCAATCGGGGGACACCCTGGACATGTCGCCAATCCATCGCCGGGCTGTGTT